GATTGATAGGTAAAGGGGGATGAACAGACAAAAGACAGCAACAGACATCACCAGACTCTTAGATGGTGTTCTACTACCCAAAAGGTTTTTGCAGAAACAAATAATTTCTTGTCTAATTTATAAATTCAGTGAGCTTCATGGTTACAAAAGGAAGTCTCTAATTACGGAATGTTCCTGTATTCATTATTTTATTGGTTAACATTTTATTTAAATGCCCACATATTTACAATAAATACAGTACTGTATGTTATTTTATTTATTTTTAAGTTATAATTCATCACGTATCAGCTCACTAGGTTCTTTGGGTGGTTGGTCCATTCTTTTGTTACTTTGTGATGAACTTTATTGTCCAATGTTAGTACAGGAGGAAACCTGTGATGTATGGTTGGGTCACACTGGACAACATCTTCACCATGTGTGTTTCAGGCCAAGACTTAAATCCATGACAGAGTGGTGAGAGATACACACATTACATGTACTGCTATTATAGCAATATCCACTGTCGATCCTCTGTAAAATTTGGTTTCTGTTATTCAACTTTAGTAACTTCTAACAGTTTCTTTTCAAACCTTTGAAGAACTGTGAAATTTCATGTTATGTTATTCCTCACAGTTCTACCTTTCATAGCTCTTGTGTTATAACCTGTAATTACCAACAAAAACTGATGATCATTTGTGTGTCATCTTCCCACAAGTGTAGCTGACTTTTATTATTTATATAATCCTGTAGAGACATCGAACCTCCTCTGACAAGTTGTAGATGTAGAGATGAATAAATAGATAGTTACATAAACTTCCAAGTAAGAGTGAAATGATTATTTAAACTACTACAATCAACATAAAGAAGGCCAGTATCTATTACATGTTCTCACTGTTTCCTGATGTAAAATGGAATATTATTGGCAGAGGATGTAAGAAGAGGTAACACTCATCATCTGTCGGTAACTCATATCTAGAACTGTGCTTGTTTAGATGGTGACCGACAGTGTATACAGTACATGAGAAAGTGTGAGGTCCTTCATGTTGCGTACAGGGATGTTCACAATAATCAAATCTCTAAGGAACTATTAACTATCTATCTGTATTGCATGGTTAGCTGCAGTGTTCCTACTTCCTGTTTCAACCCTTTGCTGTCACTTTCTACAATTTTCTTACTCTACTTTGCTAATTCCTCCCCTTCTTGGGACTACTGTTATTCCACGACCCACCGTATGCAGAAGTTGGAGCAGCATAAAGATAACAGATGGATGGATAGATACAATAGAGGAAGAGAACTTTAGTAATCTAGTCGGTAGGGCAGTAGACTTACTAGCCTGATGTGAGAAGAGAACACACATTCCCTTGATCAAAATCTAATTTATTGTTAGTAAAGAACACCAATGTCTACTTCTGCCAATACAGTATTCATATATCTCCATGCAGTACACTTTAGAGGAAGTTTTAGATTTTTCATAAAAATTGCATTATTACTCTACCTTTTCAATCTAGAGAAGTCATTGTAACTTATCAGTTTTGTCAAGTTGCTTTTACTAGAACAAGCATTGGGCTTAAACCCTTAAAAAAATATTCTGTGAAAAGCTCTTCTTGGTTTGAGTTATTATTATTTAATTTTTTATGGGAAATGTTATGAACCAAAAAAGGTTTGTGAAATTATCCTTATAACTTACTATAAAAGTCATGCGTTTTTATCAAATTCCTGTACTGTATTGTAATATTTTCCATTTACTGTACTACTGTATTGTACTGTACTGTACTGTTCTGTACTTATATTAGATCAGATCTCTGAAAATCCCTCATATGTTCTTGTATAATGAGTATGATAAAAAAGATGAATGTATTTTATAAAGCACAAATGCTGAACTTTTTTGTAACATTGGTCTCTAATTAAAGTAAAATATGTGCCAAAAGTCTCTTGTATATCCTCTTATGTAGGACTGTATATTCTATTGTAACGAATAATACAAAAGGGAAAGAATCAAGCAAATCATGGTAGTAAGTTGGCTAAAACGCCAGAAAGATGTAAAGTCCCTCAATTTCACCCCAATTCATTGTGTCATCACTGAGGATTGCTTCATATGTTAAGACAATACCAGGAAAAGATATTCAACAACACCTTGGGATGAAAAGCATCACCAACACCTCAAAAAAATAAAGAATATCAATACCTCTTCATAGGTCCTCCTTGAATCCTATAACATCGAGGTCTGGATTCAAGGGGGGGGGGGGGACTTGAAAATAGAGGATTACTATGGAAAAACAAAAACTAAGACATTAATCAGTTCCCAGTGCATGCCACATATACTGAAGTTGTTAGAGGAAAGGCTGAAAATGCAATCAGTGAAGATGTGTAAATACTGTACTGTACAATGTTTTTATTTTGGGGTTTGCTAATGAATCATTTAATTGACGTCCTCGGCAAGACCTTAGATGTGCGCCCCTACTAATGTAGTTACTCCATTGATAAATTATTTCTGTAACTCTGGAGACATCATTGATAACATCTCGTGACTTTATTACTTCATTCATGCAAATAACCAAATAAATATCAGTTAAGTGTGACGATATCAGCCCTTAAGGACGACACTAATGTATTTTTCTTTTCTATTTCCAGCCTTAACTGTCTTGGACCTGTTGACCATTTGTAACTACCAGTCAGTAGTTCACAAGCGACGCAGAGTAGTTCAACCTGTCCTCAAGCGATGAAATTTGACCAGCTTTAGTCAGTTGTTCTTCTGGTCTCACATCATGTCCTCCTCTCACTGGTTCAGCCGGGTCTTGGCAGGTAAGTGCTGTTATTCATTCCGTCACAATATTACAATAATTACACTACCTGTATAAGTGTTAATTTTCTTTCGTCTGACTTGCATCCCATGTGGTTTTGTTAATAATTTTTTACATATAATTAATGTCATAATATACCGACACATGAGGTCAAAGTTTCATTAAAGCTTACTTTTTGTGCCATTGATTTGACAAATGTGCAAACAAACAAGTTGTTTCAAGTCAAGTTTCTCAGACAATTTCGTGTTCTATTGATAGAGTGGAATGCCCAACAAGTCTTTTTGAGCGTACATACGGTTTTATCAACCTTAGTTTGGAATAATTCAGCTCATCACTGGCCAGAAAGTCAAAAGGATACTCATAGTTTAGTGCAATTTCAAGACCAACCAGAACGTATTTTGGCTGCTGGAAAAACCTGCGACTCGAAATTTTACTTAATGGTAATTTTGCGGTGTCCAGTGAGAGAATTTATTGCTTGAGAGCTGAATAATAAAAACAATAAAATATGTTTCTTTGATAAATAAAACAACAATGAATCATGATAAGTAAGCATTTTTTTATTTTGTTTCACTCAACCAGAACTTGAAGGCGTAGTTTACCTCTCCCACTTTTTTCTTCCTTTCTCTCTCTCTCTGACACACACACGACCCCAGAAACTCCTGTACGTTTCACCTTTATATCATGAGTACTATACAAAAAAATACACCTAAAACGCACATATATCTGATGGTCATCGAATACAACACGTAATACATCATGTGGAATGCTGAAATAAATTAAAATACATCGTAAATAAATCAGTGTGACGTAAATAAATATCTTATTAATCTCAACGCTAACAAGGTATGGTATATTTTGCATCACAGTCATAATTAAATATAGCAATCTGTTTATATAATCTTGTATATGGTAATTATAGAGAATATGCATAAACGTATAATTTGCGTCAAAAGGCAGGGGGCGAACTATGACAGTACACTATAATTATACAGTTGTTTTGCCTCTCCCTTTCACCTCGTCTTCTCTTAATCATTTAAAGATTTATTGCATTTTCTTAATTTTTCCCTTTACACTCCTTCGCATGGCTTTTTTCTCGCACTTCATCCACTACTATTTTTCTAATTTTCTATCTGTCTACTTCTTCTCTAAAACATTCCTTTCGGTTTTTTTTACCGTCATTGTTGTTATTACCTTCGTATCTTCATTTGTCACCTGTGAATAACAAATCTTATTTTCTTTTGATTTGTCATTCGTCAAATTACAGTATATTTTCTGCATGGTATGAATCATCAAACTACCATTTCCTCGTCTTCAACACATTTAATACCCTCTACGTTTTTATCCACACGTTTTCATACCCCTATTATCACTTTTCACTTCCAGTTAACCATTTTATTTAGTGTTTACGTGGTTTTTTTTTTTCTTTTACAAATTGTCTGATTCGCTAGTTGTCTCCTCCACGCCATGCAGAAAAGAGACGTCCAGGGATTAGCAGATTAGCGAGTTTATCGTCCTTGAATCCTCTCCTCGTTCGATAACTAGAACGAGGAACGATTAGACTTTCCATCAAACTTAGAATGTTGGTTATATCACAAGAAAATCTCCCATGAAGTTAATAATCATGAGTTTTCTTCAAAGTCCAGGGTTGTGACAGAGCAGCGCGACGGGATGGGGGTACATTCTCGTTCTTCTCGTCTCCGTTTTCACGTATTTTTCTGCCTGTCTATCTTTATCACTTCTATTCGTCTTCTATCACTTTCCTCCTCAAATCCTCTTTTTTTTTCCATCGTAGTCCACTCATATCCTTTCCTCTTCCCCCTTTTCGTCAGTTAGCGTGCGGTCCGACTAATTACCCAAATGTAGCCGCAATGATCTATTAACTCAGATTAAATTAAGTTCACCAATTTTTTGTGACTTTCTGACACCAAATACTAGTCGAGAAGTGATTAGCAGTCCGATTTATTCATCTAGGACCATTATTTGACTTCATTCCGGCTACATAAAGGTACATTTGGGTAATTAGTCGGACCCTTAGCGTGTGCTATGTCCAAGCCACCATGAAACTCTACGCTGCTTCTTTCACTTTTTTGTATCTTTCTCCTCTTCCTCGATGGATTAAGTCCATCTCTATGCTGTTCTTACACTCCTCTTCTTCCTCCTGTAGCCGTTGGTCAGTGAAGGAAGTCCCTCTCTATGCTGTTAGCCGTTGGTCAGTACACTCCTCTTCTTCCTCCTGTAGCCGTTGGTCAGTGAAGGAAGTCCCTCTCTATGCTGGCCAGGATGTGCTGTTCGGTCTGGTCGTAGCGGAGCGGCGATGTGGTCCCATTGCCGCCGTCATCTCTGCTGGAACAACAAGTAAGATCAGCCATGTACCACGACCTGTCAGATATCGTTTTTAGATATTGTCAAAAGCTGTCAGAGGTTCACCCTTCAGTTAGTTATCAAAGGAAAGTACCGGGGAGAGTGAGAGACAGATTACGTGACATGGCTGTTGGCAATTTCAGTGTTTATTTGGGATAGTAACTCTTACCCCAGCCGCTAGGACCCCCTTGTCGTTATAAACTGTCAAAATTTCCGTCTTGTCTCTATAAAAGTATTTTAACTTGTGCTTATTATTATATTTCGTCTCTGTCACTACCCCTTCCTTGACCTAATCGCTCGATAGTTTTGTTTATACGTGCGCTAGTGGGACATTGATTATCTTGCCATTGAGTTTTCCTCCCTTTCACCTGTAGTCTTTTGTGTGTCAGGCGGTTGTGAACGGTCTTTAAAGGTGAAACAAACTCGTACTTGTCCATTCCGTAATTAGATTCTCAGAGATTCGTACGTTGGAAATTTATATCAAAGTTAAATTAACCTCATCATTAGTGACGTAACAAGCACATTCCGTCTAAATTGCACTAAGATTTATATCACATCGTCTTGGTTCCGTTTACTAAAATTCACAAAGACGTGTTAATTTTGTCCTCCAATTAGTGCTAAATAAATATTCCTAGTTAAGATAATCTCTAATTTTACTGCCACTTTGGAAGTATTTTTTACCTCTGATCTTAAGTTAAAAAATTAACAAGGAAAATTCAAATCTACGAACGTTTGTGTATGCAAGTCAAGGACAGGAAGGGTAATGGTCGATTTACCAATATTCAACATTATGCCAATATCCCACTCGCTAGCACCGAGGGCATAGTGGCAGAAAATGGACGGTCACAGGGGGTAAAGTATGTACTGTATGGTGTCATGGTACTGTATGAATTACACAACATACATATATACTGTTCCTTTGTCTTGTTCCCTCACATACTACTACCATGCACACACACACGGAGGTCCTCATCGCTCGTGCCACGGCCTTGAAAAAAAAAAACCACTGCAGTATTTAGATGACGCAGCACCAACTTCTTTTGTTTTATATATGACTGCAGAGATAATCGTGTCAGGCATCTAGTCCCACCAGTAACACGGACACACGAGACACTGGCTGGTTACTATAGGTCTCAGAGTATATGTCTGTTTGGTGTGTTCTATTCTTATAATATTTTAGGGACTCTGTAAATCCTCTGATGTGAAGTTAATATGTAACCCGTTTTTATTTGAGTTTTGACCTAACCTAGCCCAACATTTATAAGTAACCGTAAGACAAACTGAACTAAACCTTAATCCTAAACCTGAAGTGTCCCGGGTCCTGGTAAATTAATTCGTATCAAGAGGTGTCATATGCCCTTACGGTATCTGTCCCCCCTAAAGTATTCCCGTGACCAGTTGTGTTGGGGGTAGTGGCAGCCTTGTGAAGGTCGAGTGTGACGTCAACAGAAGGGGGAGAGGAGGGGGGGGGTGGTAGTGAGGATGCTCTTCCGTCTGTTTGTCCGTCTATGGAAAAATTATGCTAATTAGCTTTATATGCTCCAATGATCGTGTTGGTGGGCCATTTACCCTTGGTGTTAGACCGAGCAGTTAAGACTTAAATGGTGATTTTATTGATCCACTGCGTCAAATGCGTCACAAAACCGCAGCTCATCTCTCGCCAGCCTCCCTGGGACGCCTGGATTATAGACACGCACGCACGCAACGCCACACGCATGTTTTTTGGCTACGTATTCTCACCCCACTACACGTATTGCTTACACACGCGCCGCCACACGTATGATCCAGACACGCATTCAAGTACCAGTAAAAGAATGACTTAAACCCATTCATCTACTATCAAATATATGGTCCAGACACACACGTATATCCTAACACCCACACAGCCAGGCACGTCGTTCAAATATTCATATAACCTTGTCTTAAACACATACACACCGAGAAGAAATATAAACGTGCTTTACCAGATATGTCAACAAAACCAGAAATAATAAGATACATAATTATACCTGAAATTGCCTCATTAACACACCTATCTGTTAATTAGACTGACCTACTGACATAGTGGATGGGGGGGGGGGGGGAGGAGGTGCATCTGGCAAAAAAATAATACGTATTATTATTATTATTATTATTATTATTATTATTATTGCTGTTGTTCTTGTTTTTATTTTTGTTGTTAATTTTACTACTGTAGTTTTCAGATTTGGGGGGACATGGTTCAGCAGTGGTCGTATTTATTATGCACACACACCCACGCGCACACACTTACCCGACAGCGTTGGGAAGACTTGTACTGTCAAACACCGAGTCCTGCAACACAAGTTTATTAATACAACTTGCAACACACGACAGTTTATTGATCAATCTTGCAACACACGACAGTTTATTGATCAATCTTGCAATATATGTCTATAAATCATTTTACAACATCATCCATTACTCACCCTCAGATTCGCTTTCCTGAATTTCTCTATATCGAAGCCTTCAATTACCACCTGTGGGATGAAGACACGCACACACAATTATTGGACCATCTAGCATCATCAAAAATCAATATACAGCATTAAGAAATAAAGCCAATATCTGTATATGTCACTCGTACTGAAAGCCACCTTGAACTAGGGCAGGGAGCAGGTGTATAAGATAACACGGGTGTATTATATAACAGTTTAAGTATTTGCAATGAAAACGATAAATAAAAAATAAAAACCAAAGAAAACGTAACAAAAAAAAAAGACGAAACGAGGAAAGTCAGCCAGTTCCTCCATCATTCAGTCACATCGTCCGTCAGTCAGTTAGTCAGGTAAGGCATTCATGAAGCTAACTAACGCAACTTAAGAGATCAGTGTGTTGAAAGATCATGTTAAATATTGTATGAAAGAAGCGCTGCCGGTCTCTCTCACTCCCACGCTAAAGGTCATACAGCATAACCTATTTGTAATAGGTCCCAGTTGTAATAGTCCCCAGTTGTAATAGGCCACAGTTGTAATAGGCCCCAGTTGTAATAGGCCCCAGTTGTAATAGGCCCCAGTTGTAATAGGCCCCAGTTGTAATAGGCCCCAGTTGTAATAGGCCCCATTTCAAAAACGTCCCTGTCCTAATTCTACCAATTAAGATCCGGCCCCAATTTTGATGGTTAGGTTAGGTGAGGAACTATTAGGGACAGGCGTTTAATAGGAATGGAACCTATCAAAACTGGAGACTAACTAGAAGTGAAGAGTTATTAGTACAGAAAGGCCTATTAGAACTGAAAGCCTATTAGAACTAGAGACCAATTCAAACTAAAAGCCTACTAGAATTGGAAACATATTAACAATGTAAACCAATGTAGATTATAGTGGGTCGTTTGATTCAGTATTCCCAACCCCACGTCTCAACCTGTCCTGAATACCAAGGTTCAATAAAATATCATCAGGGTTGGATATGTCACTAGTAGACGGGCCAAATCTATAACCCTGTTACTTTACCTAACTTCTTATATTTACTTTACATTTACATACTTTATTTTATTTATCTATTAACTTATTTACTTTACGTATTTGTATTTATTCTTGAAGGCGTTAAATTAGTGTAAGCAGGTGTTCCGTCGCTTGTGTTTATACTAACTTGATGGTTCCCACTCACCATTACTTTCAGACTTCCTTCACCTTTTTTTCAGTCCTATTAGTTAAGAATTATGTTATGTGAAGTTTTAAAACGTTTGTAGCGAAGTCATGAAAATTAATTGAGATTTGGTTCGTGGGCTGATCATATGAGATTAGACCCTGAGATTATATTGCCTGACGATTTAATACTATTGCTACGTGTGTGTGTGTAGCCACTGGTGTTGGAGGTTTAGTGTGTTAGTTTGTATTAGAGTGGTCTGTAATTAGCTTCAGTAAATTCCTCATCTTTCTTTTCCTCCCAAAAGTTTATTTTTTTCCCTAATTAACCGTTTGAGAATAGTGTTTTAAGCCCTTGAGGAATAGAGTTTAAACCATCGTCTTCCAAGCGTCAGTCGCGAGAAAAAATAATAATTATGAATAAAGAAATAAAAATACTGCCAGGAATACATTTTTGAACACGCCATTTCCAGGAAAACGTCGTCAAACTATAAAATAATATGACAAATTCGGTCATTGTCCTAAGTGACGTCACGCATGTAAAAAAATTCTTGGTAGTCATAGCTCTGCGCGGGAGTTTGTTGACGACTTTGAGGAGTATGTGGAGAGGCGACTGGAGTGTTGAGGAGTGAGGGAAATACACAACACAGAGCTCCACTTACCGCCTTATACTCCCACTCCTCCTCATCCTCCTTGGTGGGTGTCGTCTGGTTCTCTGTCTCCCAAGAGAACTTAAAGGTCCTCTTGGATCCCGTCGAGCTGTTACTACTACTGCCGCCACCTTCTACCATCCCTCCCCCGTTCATGCTTTTCACTCCCCGCATTCTGACGTTCTTTTTCTTCCTCATGGGTTCAATAATCGCCGGGTCCTCGTCTTCTTTCAGGCGATTGGGCGGGCCATTACCCCACATGTTCTTCCCGACGATGCCAAGAGAGTCGAAAGTCTTCTCCAAGTCGTTAATGTCATCTTCTAGACCCACGTCCTTTTCTTCAGATTTTTTCTCGGTTTTCCAGTTAAAGAGTTTGAAGCCCTTCTTCTCTGTGGGATCTTTATTATTTTTGTCTGTGTTTTTCTTGTCGTTGGTGTTTTTCTTGTCCTCGCTCGAGTCGTTCTGAGTCGAGTCTACTTTGGTTCCATCTTCCTTCTTTTTAGCGAAACCAAATCGCGTCTTTTTCTTGAGGTCGTCTTTTTTCTCCTCCGGGTTTCCATTGTCCAAGGTTTCTATATTACTGCCACTCGGAGCTGAGATCTCTGCCAGCGTCCGTTCAAAGCTTTCACTGTTATTGTTTTTGTTTTCATCTTTCTTGGAGATCGGCTGGTCGTTCTCCCAATGATCACTGGAACTGGAGAACTGATCCCCGTCGTCATTGCCCTTGGGTTTCACCCCTTTGGCACTCCCCGCCCCCATGGTGCTGCCGCCTATCACTACCTCACTGTCACAGCTGCTATTAATCTTCCTCTAACACTCATTTTTTATCTCCCGCTCCACTATAACCATAAAACTGCCTTCTTCGTTAAATCCCTTCAGAGTCGTCAAATAGTGATTGATTATTGTAATTTACCTTTTGCTGTCTTTTGAATTCTTCATTTTCTGTGTTAGACTTAAACTCGGCGTAAGCTTTAGTTGACAGTGAGGTTTTTGTGCACCAGTACTACTGTTCTGAGAGACAATGATCTGCTGTTCCATTAGTCGTTGCTGGAGACTGTTAAAAGAAGACCAGTAAAACTATATTTACTGGGGAATGTTTCACTTATTGTTTTTTCTATATGTCTTATAATATTAAATTCTAGTTTATATCGTTAAATTCTTACGACCTTATAGTTTGTACATCTAACAGAGGATCGTGTATGGTTCAGAAAACGACATCTTAGTTCCTTTGTCACCCAGTGGTGTTTGGTGTCTCCATCACTCCGCCAGTTGCTCCGGGTCCCGTTGATCCAGGGCGAGGCTTCGTTTGTGGTGGCGGAAGTGACACACCATTACGCCCCTCTTCATCCCCCGGCCGGTGGTGGCGTGGAGGGGAGGGGCACGTTCTCTTGACACCTCTTGGGACACCCTCTAAAATGCTTCTAGTTCCGTCATACAGAGTCTGTAAGAGAGAGATTTAGTAAGACAGTGTAACATGAAACTTTAGATAAACGAGAATATAAATTTGGTGACGTAAAACCTTCCCATTACCAAAATAAATCAAAGAGCATAGGAAGAATGATAAAATCCACAGAACCCCTTATGGAGGAGCTGTGCTTACATGACTACTGTGAGAATACGAGCCTAAATTTTTTTTGTCGCGACCGAACTCAACATATCTAATAACCCAACTTTAGACAGACCATAAAACATTATCCAGAATTAGGTTACGTGGTTTAGGTCGGGTGATATGTTGTGTGACTTGACAGACAGACCTCGATCAGGATTTTATATATATATATATATATATTCTGAGCGTTAATGATGTCTCCCCATACTAGTACACAGTGTACGTGTTAAGGTAGAATCTGTGTTATTTTTCAACGAATATGATACATTCCTTTATTTTTATTTACGAGGAAAATTCACCGTTCGAACATTTGAGAAGCCAATCCCTGAGCTTTATAGTTTAATGCATGTCTCTCCACCAATCACAGCGCGACGAGTGTGTACTGCATGCTGAACGGCGAGTCATGACATCACGTGCCATTTCTGGTGTACGCGATCTGAGAGTAACACACACACACACACACACACACACACACAGAATAAAGCGAAACCAATAGCCCCGTTTACCTTCTCGGGATGGGCTCTAGGATAACTCAGGGACTCAAAAGTAGCCACACGGAATGCCTCAGGTAACCAAACTCTCTCATCATGGGTGGGTGGAGGGCATTGATCGCCTTGGCTCACCCCTTCCCTTCCCTCTCCCTCCCCTCCCACCATCACCCCTTCCCTTCCCTCTCCCTCCCCTCCCACAATCACCCCTTCCCTTCCCTCACCTCCCCTCCCCTTGCTTTAATTCCTTCTTCTTTGTCTCTCTTTCACACGTTTTATCTTTCTGTTTGTCTGTGTTTCTTTCTTTTTTTTCCTCATAATATCTTTCTTCCTACCTCGGAAAGACGCTGCTGCTGCCACCCCTCCCGCACTAGATGTAACCCTCCACACCTGCTGGTCCCGTATCAGCCTCTTTAGTCACCTCAGAGCTTCCCAACCTAGGTGACATCCTTAATAACTCATATCATTGTATCATAGCTGGATGATCGTCATACTGTATTCCGAGTGACAGCATAGTAATTGGCACTACGGACTTCAAGACCCAGTACGTAGCGGGAAAGGTGAATGAGTGGGTTAGCGAAATCCAAGCTCTATCGGAGATTGCTAACACAGAGCCACATGCGGCCTTTGCAGCATTCACACATGGAGTCAAGCATCGTTGGAACTACCTGATGCGTACCATCCCTGAGATCGGACCCCTCCTCCACCCTTTGGAAGAAGCAATCAGTGTCAAGTTCATTCCCAAACTAGTGAAACACCCCGACTTAACCCTAGCAGAAAGAACACTTCTTGCACTTCCACCAAGACTGGGAGGGATGGGACTAACTAATCCAGAGGAGATTGCTGACTCTGAACATCAAAATTCACTTAAGCTCACAGCAGCCCTCACTGACCACATAATAGCCCAGAATGCAACAGGGGAAGTGGACACCAGCGAAGTTAATAAGATCCGTAGGTCCATTACAACAGATTGGCAGCACTGCCAAAATGACATGTTGCAGCAACTATTGCTGCAGGTTCCAGAAAATTTGAAAAAAAAAGTAGCTATAGCGCAGGAGGTGGGCGCCTCGAACTGGTTAACTACGTTACCGATAAGGGCAAATGGTTTCAGTCTTAACAAACAAAAATTTACAGATGCCATTGCTCTAAGGTACGGTCAGCCAGTAGAAGGTTTGCCCTCCCAATGCGTGTGTGGCTCTTCCTATGACGGCGATCACGCCATGGTGTGCAAGAAGGGGCTTCATATGCATGAGGCATGACGAGGTAAGGGATCTCACAGCAAATATGTTGAAGGAAATCTGCGGGACGTCATGGTAGAACCGACCCTCCTTCCACTGGATGGCGAGATCTTCCAACACAGGACTTCAAACACATCTAACGAAGCCCGTGTGGACGTCAGTGCTCGAGGATTCTGGACGGGGACAGCGAGCTTTCTTCGACATCAGGATTTTTGATCCCATGGCCGTTTGTCACCGTAACCTAGCTCTCGATGCTGCGCATAGGAGGAACGAGAACGACAAGAGAGAAGGGCATATGGGGAGAAATTCAAAATGTTGATCAAGGCAGCTTCACTCCTCTAGTGTTCACAACCTCTGGTGGGATGGGCCCAAGTGCAAGATGTTTCTACGCCAGACTCATGGAGCTGATCTCCGAACAGAAGCAGCAGCCCAGAGTTATGTCACAGCCTGGATGAGATGTCGTGTCCTTCTCTCTCCTTCGGTCGGCTTTGCTCTGCCTCAGGGAATAAATGGTGGCGAGAATGGTGGCTATTGGGGAGGCTAAATTGCATTTAAAAAAAAAAAAAAAAAAAAAAAGTAGTAATGGTATCTGTCTGTTTACATCCCTGTCTATTCCCGTCTTTGTATCTATCCACATGTCCAATTGATCTATCTATCCTCTAACTCCTAAAATCCCCTTAAAACACCCTATAACCCCCCTTAAACACCCTATAATCATAAACACCTTAAAACACCCTATAATCCCCTTAAACACCCTATAATCCCCCCTTAAAGCACCCTACAATCCTTAAACACCTAACCCCTTAAACTCCCTATGATTCCCCTTAAACTTCTCACCTGGCTCTACCCTTGAGTGTCTACCGTCAAGGTCACGAGGCAGAGGCCTTTTGTTATGTGACAGTGAACTCTTGATGTACACAGCCCTACAGTGACTATACCATGATGTACTGTACACTTCACGCCACTGTTTACGTTACTCTGTACATTATTACTAATTATGTATCTGCTTGAGGGTCATTTAGTTTAATATAGAAGATTTTTATAGATAAGAATGATAAATTAAACGATGTGTATAGTTATTGTTCATTCAGGTGGAGCGGGACGGTGTTTATATTGTACATTTATTCAACAGGGTACTATGTTTACCTTGAGGGGGGGGGGGTTAAGCCTGATTGACGTCATTACAATTCGGTGACTTTTTATTTAAGTCTTATTATTAATTTAGGTGAATATTTGTCTGTCTGAATTGGGATAGAAAGTTGAATCTAATTATCGTAAGTGGTAGCTCACACACACACACACACACACAAAACGTTATAAATTATGATGTTTATTTGAACTTGACCATAGTTCTCAGTCTCCACGTCACACAATAGAGAAAGGTCAAACAAGGTCACCATCAAAGGTCACACAAACAAACTTTTACCCGTAAACAATACAACTACAAAACCAAAGCTAAAACAGTCATAAAATACCAAAGTAACCCATTAATAAAGACGATGACGAGACCACACCCACGTAATCGAACGAAAGGGGACAACCTCACACCCGATAGTCTTTTGTTTTCACGGTGAAACAAAAGACGATCACCAGATGTTTATTGTTGGTATGTTGTATTAACGTGACTCAACAGGTGAGGTATTCAAGCTCACTTACCCAAGGTTAGTTAGTGCCTGGAATGGTGTCAGTTTAGGTCAAGTTGTTGTGGTTACTGATGCTTAACTAGGCCACAAAGACGAAGGGGGATAAGTAAATAAGTAAGTAATTTTGGGGGTATTTTCATGACACACACACACACACACACACACACACACACACACACACTCACTCACACACACACACACACACACATTGTAATAAAAAGTTATGTGTAGTCACGCCAACACCAGCCAGCCCTTCCTGACTTGACTTATGTATTCTTCCAACATGTGAAGGATATTTAACCATTGCTTTACGTGGTCAATGATCAGTTCTCGGTCATGTTTTTATTCATCATTCATCTTTACTTCTTCATTTCTTATTGCAAAAACGCCTTAAAGATTCTACATGTGTAAAAATAATAGACTTGAAAATTTTACGCAATATTGTGTGTGTGTGTGTGTGTGTGTGTCAGCTGTGTTAGAAGTATGTGTGGCTTTGAAACTGGGGTTGTGGGTGGGAGAGACGAGGAGGGCAGGGGAAGGAAGGAGGGAGAGGAGGAGGGAGGGGGAGGGAGGGAGGGAGGGAGGGAGGAGGGATGGAGAAAGGAGGGAGGGGAGGAGGGAGGGAGGGATGGAGGAAGGAGGGAGGAGGAGGGTGAAGAAGGAGGAGGGAAGGAAGGAAGGAAGAAGGGAGAACCACCATCACTCGGCTTGTATTCACCGTAGTGACGTCCCTGGTCTTGGCTGATCGATCCTGGGTGTGTCGGTAACCTGTGCCTCTCTGTGTTGGTTGTCAGAACTGACCTGCACACACACACACACACACACACACAGACACACACACACACACACAGATGACTTGAAGACTAGACACCATCGATTTTTTTGCCTTATGGGTAAACACCCTAACGCTACCTGGGGATTAGGTTTGGTTAGGTTAGGTTAGGTTTGGTTAGGTTTGGTTGGGTTAGATTGGGTTAGGTTTGGTTAGCATTAGAGTGGACATCTTCAAGGTAAAATAAGCCGAATTAATGTCTTCAGGTGATCCTTAGAAATAACTCCCAGGTGTGATGAGCGTAAACTTCAACCAATTAATATTTACCTGTACCAAGAGGAAGCCAACCCACACTGCGAATCTTATCACTACTACCGTATTAATTAAATGGTCAAAGGTATTTAACCCTTCATTACGATACTAACTTATTTGGAGTACATTAAATTGGCCCATGGATATATCTTTTAACATCTTGAGTACATTTAGTTAACCTCTTGAGTACAATGTCTTATTTCAGGGGGTTCAGGTCAGTCCTCTGTGTATTAATCTCTGACGGCAGGCTCCACATGCAAGGTATATTTGTAACTGGCTCACTTATGCGATAACAATGACGTAGATTCTCCATGGTCCTTACGTCAAAATATCCCTTTAACTTTAACCTTTGATGACGTAACTAACTGGCTCACTTATG